TGGCATACCAAAAGGTGTCATTCTACTTCCAGTGTTGTTCAACATACACATGAAACTGCTGGGAGACTTCTTTCAGAGGTGGGGGTGTTATCAACATGCCAATGAAACCCAAATATATTTTCCATGTCTTCACAAATAGCAGCCTGGGAGTACTTCTGGATCTGCCACTCCATTTCAAAGCTCAGAAAGATGTAATTGCCAAGAGTGCATATTAACAATATCGGCCTTTAGCTCAGCTGCAGCCCTTTCTAGAATTGAAGGTATCTAAATATAACAGTGGACACGCTGGTAATATCAGTCTTGGACTTCCACAATGAATTGTACCAAGTTCATAAATTTCATTTAGGGCACATTTACACTATAGAATTATTGAAGTCTGACACGATTTTCACTGTTATCACTCTATTGTATGGAATCATGAGAGTTGCAGTTCAGTTAGGCACTGGCACGCTTTACCAGAGAAGGCTTGCAAAACCACAGCTTCTAGGATTACATAGTCTTGAGCCATGGCAGTTAAAATGGAGTCAAACTGCATTAATTTTACAGTGTAGATGCACAGTGAGTTCATAATTTAGCAGCTATGTTAGTTACTGGTACATTTTGAAATGATTGTATAGTAGCAATATTAAAATCTTTCCAATGGCCGGGAATTAGGTTCTGAACAAAGTACAAAGGGATATTTATTACCTTTAAAGATGATATGACTTCAAATCTTCTATGGGATCACCTCCTCCTATATAATCTACCTGTACATTCACATCTTCTGGGTGCCATTGCATTCAGTCAGCTGAAACTAGACTGTCTATTATTCAGATAACATTTTATTCAGCTGCCCCCAGAATGCAGAATGACTTGCCAAAAGAGATTGGTCAGCTGGAGGCACTGTCTGCATTTTAAACAGTACGAAGGACTATTCTCTTCCGGCAAGCATATCCAGGTTATTTTTAATTCAGAATTTTTATTGTATTTTAATAAAACAAAGGCTACAGTAATATGAAAAAGAAAAGAAAAGGAGAAAATACTAAAGAACAACTAATACCAAAAGAAGGTAATCACTATCTCCCCAATCCCAGCTCTATACCTAAAAAAGCTAAAAACTGACTCCCCACCCCACTAGCAAAAGACATCTATATAAAACTGCAGTAAATTCATTTCTACTTGATTTCAATTTTTGCTTTTTTTTAAAGCAATAAAACTAAAGTTTTCAAATCTCATCAGTGTTGTTATTTTTTCTTTCATCTTAATATTGGATAAAAATTATTTCCAATCTTTTTTTAAAAAAAACTGCCCAAAATTCGATTAAAGTAGACAATTTGTCCATTTCTACTATATCATAAGTCTTAGAAATCCTTTTGTTGGGAGATCAGCATTCTTCCATTTTTGAGCAAACAACAATCTTGCTTTTAAAGTCATGTAGTGCTGCTAAAGTCATGTAGTCCAATTCACCTCTTCAGTTTCCTCATTTGGAGGTCCCAATAAAATTCATCTGGTTTCAGGTGAATTCTAATTTTAAAATTATCTTGCACTGATGTTTTATCAGTTTCTGATATTTATTAGCTTTTTTCAGAAGTCCACAATATGTAATTAAAAAGAACCTTCTTGTATGTCACACCTGCAACACGTTACTGCTTCCCTTATACATCCTTTGTAACCCTATTGGGATTAAATATCATCTATATATTATTTTATTACAAATTATTTTAAGTCAAAAGATAATATATCTTTGAGCTCATTAGTCTACATTCTACTCCAGTGCTTCAACTCGATATTATAACCCAGGTTCTGGGCCAATATTCAACTTGGTTTTCTTACAGCTCCATTTTAAGCAACACGTATTTGTCATTTGGACACAATTTAATCTCAAATTAAATTCAATTTTTTCCCCTTTTTCAAAGCCAAAGATATTTTTTATCTAGCTCAAATCTTTCCAACACCTGTTTAAATTGAAACCAAAGAGGGTCACGGTCCTTTTTTATTAGTTCATCTTGTGTTTTAAGTACACATTGGCCATTCTCCCAAAATAATAAATCTGTATATGTCTTTGTATAACTCTTTCTACCAACTCTATAAAATGCTTCTTCCAATGAAACACCCATAGGCAAATGATTATGAAAATCCATATTTACTTTTCATTAATCATACCATATGTAGGCATGCCATCAAAAATAATTCATATTATTTCTGAAATTATAAACTTCAAAATATTTATTTATTGATTAAAATATATATTGATTTCATGTATTCCTTTTAATGATATTATATGTTTGATCCTTAGAGATAGATGGGAAACAAACAAACAAAAATTAAATAAAAACAACTACTACTACTATCAGACAGAATTCTGCAATATATAAAAACATTGACCATCTTGGAACTTGAAGCATGCCTCTTGTTTCTTCAGTATCCTTGGACAATCACACTTTGATCATGACTGCTGTAGAAAACTGCTATTGATAATTTACCTTTTAATTGAAAGTTTGATATACATACCAGAAGAGGGCTGCCCCACCAAGTCCTCCAATGGTTACATCTGTCAATCCGTCTCCATTTAAATCCATTTCACCATGTATAGATTGTCCAAAAAATTTCATCTTTTCCCCATCTCCACCTGATGCAATGCGCTGTGAAAAACATAATGATCTTTATTATAGACAGCATATATAAGAATATTGGTTTTCATGACGCACCTATATTTCTCAGTGGGACTTGTATCTGTATGGACATTGATAGGATTGCACTGTTAGTCTTGGATTTGCTGGTGATTGCTCTTTTTTAAAAAAATCTCCTTGCTCCAAAATCCTCTGTAGCCCTCAAGTTCAATTCTATGGTATGCTTCCAACCAAATTACAGTCAAAACATAGGATTTACTAATATCCATAGTTGCAGGTGAAGATACTGAGATTTTACAAGTGTGAATTTTATAAGGAGAAATAGTTGAGAATTGGTTAAAGAGATAAGAGGAGGGAGTAAAAAGGAGTGAAGGAATTGGGAAGAGATGGCGTTGCTAGGCACAGAGGAAAAGATGTATGTGGAAGGTGAAAAAGATCCGGATGACCTGGAAAAGATGGGAGAGAAAAGTGCAGAAGAATTGTTTGGAATGACTTTACATCTAATTCTATGGATTCCTAAGAATGCCACAACCCCAGTACTGCCAAGAAATCCAGTTTGGAGATTTGGATTTAATTTTGTTCCAAACCTGAGCATATTCTTTTCTTATGGTGTTTCCATTGCCATGGTAAATATACACTGCTCCACGGTGATCATCTTCTAGAGGAGCCCCTATAACGATGTCATTAAATCCATCAAGGTTCAGATCCTTTACAGCAGCAATGGAGGTTCCAAAGCGTGCCCCACAAGGTTCATTCTTGTTGTGATTTGTGCAGTCACTGTGTTTCAATTGCGAACAGCATGTTTGCTTTATAGGCTCAAGTGTCATCTGATATTCAAACGTTTTCTGTAAAACAGGAAACACCAAAATAGATTTTTGTGTGTTTTATTATAGAAGTTATCTCAATCAGAGCTTGGCAAGACTAAGGCTGGGTCTACACTGCCTGATAGTTCAGGAACCAATCCCAGATTATATTATTTGAACTGGAATTTATCAGTCTACACTGCTAAATAATCTGGGATAAGCAGATAATCTGAGATGAGATCTTGAGATATAGGGCAGCATAGATCCAGCCTAACTTTGTTTAGATTACGAAACTAATCATATTGAGGTCCTGAAGCTGGGGAACAGCGAGGGTATTTGTTGGGCAGCAGGGCAAAGCTGGTGAGCAGCAAGGGAATTCACTGCCCTGTGCCACACGTTGCTTGCATCATCCTCTTCCCCATCACACAGGGAAAACGTTGCTGCCTGGCTTTTCCCCAAGCTTTGCCCATTATACCATATGAAAGCATGGGAAGCCTCCCATGTTGTCAGGGCTCCATCATAGGATGCTTTCAACACAGAGACAGAACAGAGCCCTACTGGAAGTAGCCCTGCATCAAGTAGCCCTCTGTCCTGGCTCAATGTTTAAAGCATCATATGACAGAATATACAGACTATTGAAACAAAGAACAAAATTATGAACACAAAACAAATACAGGATAAAACCAGGTTCAAGCAGTATTCCATAATCTGGAATGAATTATAACTTATGTTTTTGGTAAACTCAAAAGAGATATCCAAAACAAGCAATAGTTCTTTGGTAGCTTCTCCTATATGCTGAAAAGTAGAGTCTAAATTCCAAATTCCATACCAATTGTTTTTTTTTTCATCATTACCTTGTTCAAAGCATAAACATAGACCTTGCCTTGTTCTTCTTTCTCAGTCCCCATGTACATAGGTGCTCCCACCAGAAGAATATCAGTAAATGTATCTTTGTTAACATCAATGGTTGTAATAACACTCCCAAAATAAGATCCAATCTGTAATTAAGAAAAATAATATTACATAATATATTTGTGATCATTATGGAGTTTAAAATTATGTTAATGTGAGTTATAAGTTGAGGCTTTGTGCTTAAGTCATGCATCCTAATTGTCTCTTTCTTCCAGGCAGGTAAGTTTGGGTAGAAGGGCTTTCAAGATAGACTATAGTCTTCCATGAAATTCTATTTTTCTTTTCTTTTTCTTATACAACTATCAGAAAAGGAAGTCTCCAGGTTGTCATGCTGTTTGGATATATATCATGCCATTAAGTTTCAGGTTTTTCCCCCCACTACTGGATAAGTCTGCATCTGATGCTACCTAACATGGGCATTATACAGTCACACAATAAGCTACACCGAGTTTAAGTGGCTTTAATCAGAAGCTAATATAGGACACAGCAATGACTCTTGGAGACTGGTTTTTCTGCAGTGTCATTTTTTCTTAGCGTGCACTATATCACAAATACATGATTGCCATCCCAGCAGTATGTTCATGCTAATATCCAAACTCACTTGTTCTCCACTTAACCGCTGCAGTATTTCTATATCTCCCCCTCTCATTCTATATATGATAACTTGACCAGTGTGATTATATCGAGGTTGGCCAGCAATGTACAGCACATCTCCAGGTACGGAGGCTGAATTTACTGTATAACCTAAAAGAAAACAAAAATACATCAGTCATTCTCTCAATGGTTCAATAATAACTACATCTTATTTGAAAGACTAAAATGAGTACATAACTGTTGGGTAATTCCAATATGATTAGGGTATTGGTTTGGGACTTGAGAGATCGACACCAAATCCATACCAGGTCATGGAATTCACTGGGTGATTGTAGTCCATTCACTAATGCTCTATAGTCCATGTCAGAGTTTTTCAGTATGCCATTTCTTAAGTAACAATAAGAAAGTGTAAGTAAGTGTAAGGATCAAGCCCAACCATACTGTAAGCATTAAGAATCAAGCCACCTGGTTAGGCTTGTGTAATTTACAGCCAGGGTGGAGCAGTTGTAAAGGTACTAAAGTAGCACAAAACTTCTCTATTGTGGAGTGTTGGTGTTGATGAAGAGTTGTTGTTGGAGAGAAAGCTACAAAAATACAGAAGAATTGGAGAATAAGACCAGTGAGAACCTTTTGCTAGTAAGAAGGTTTCAACTACCTGGGAGTGTCTTCTGCTATATTGTAAAAATTCCTTGTATAAAGTTTTATGTACTACAAACACAAGTTGTGTATGTCAGCTCCTTAACTGGAGGGAGAGTGTGTCTGCTGTAAAAGGGGATTGTATCTGTTGCTTCATAGAGAACCCCATTAATTTCTCCACAACAGTCCACAAAATCCTTTGAACAATCTTGTGAGGTTAAGAGGGTCATTTTCTATCTGTTGTGCTTTTAGATGAACCCGCAGAAGCCCTAGTGTTATTTAAGATGTGAGAACTAGACATGGAATGAATATACTACACACCACATATTGAACATGAAGTAATCTTGTTTGATCATCTTAAGCCCCTTCTACACCGCCCTATATACCAGGATCTGATCCCAGATTATTTGCTTTAAACAGGATTGTATGAGTCTCCCCTGCCAGATAATCTGGGCTAAGCAAATGATCTGGGATCAGATCTTGGAATAAAGGGCAGTATAAAGGGGGCTTAGAAAGGTCAATTGAAAACATTGACTTGCAAAACAAGTAACTATGAACCAAAGCAATAAGAACAATGGAAGGATTCAGTGCCACAATTAGAACATTTGTTCCAATATGTTTTCCAGTGTAGGTCATATTGAAGCTATTGTAACAGGACAAAATCTGTATGACTTAAGTTGAAATTTATTTGTTTTAATGTCAGTCAACCTTTTGTAATAATAATAATAATAATAATAATTATTATTATTATTATTATTATTATTTATACCCCACCACTATGTCCCCAAGGGGACTCAGGGCGGCTAACATAAGGCCAAGCCCAACAATCCCAACAAAGCAAAAAGAATACAAACATACAATAATACATCAAATAAAATATAATAAAATATAACAGAAGAAAAATAATACAAGATAAGCACATGCTTTAATATAAAATAGCAAGAAATTGAACAGAGTGGGCAGGTTGTTGTAAAACCAGGTTGTTGTCGTCGTTGTATACCTTTCTGACACAGAGTGACCATAAACTGACCCTATTGTGGGGTTTTTCTTGACAATACTTATACAGAAGGCATTTGCCATTGGTGAGATTTGTGGAGGGTGTTATTTGTGGAGACTGTGTTTTCAAAACTGGCCAGAAACCCAATGGGTTTCTATTGATTCAAACCCTGATCTCCTTAGATGTTGTCCCTCACTGAAATTATTACACTGTAATGGTTCTTGGTCTAAAGGTTAGCTGAGAAAATTAAAAAAAAGATATTTAACTCACCTAAGTAAGCTGCAAGAGGCTCATTTCTTTCTGAAGAAGCATCATAAAACATGTCATTTCTTGGAATTATAGCAGCACTGTCCTTTAACATGACAACAGTTCCATTCCAGTCATAGGCGCCAACTGCTCCAAGCATGATCCAGTCCTTACAAAGAAGAAGAAATAATTTCTTTAGATAAATCATACTATGTTCTTAGTGAAGCCCCAAAATGGAACTGCCCCAGGAAAATTGAGAGAATGGAAGATCTTAAAGGTCAGTATTGTATCAGATATAAAACTGCCACTGTTTGGTGATTCAATAAGTTCATATTTTTCTACTAGAAAACTAGTTCTCTCTTCTCCCACATTCCACACATTTTATTTGTAAATATGTGCAATTCTAACTAAGGGATTCTGGGAATTTCAGCTCCAAAAATAAACTTTCTAAGTTCAGCTAATGATGCTGATACTTTCAATATATATTATTCACTGAAGGAGTCTGTACATACATGTGTGTGAAAACAACTATGAGATCTCTTCACTTGTACATGCAAAAGTTGTCTGACAAAGAATGGTACACCCCATGCATCATTGCAAATGGTAAATAAGAGTCATGTTACTGGATGTGTTTGTTAAAAATTGACTAGAAATAGCAATTAGCATCTCCAAAAATATCTTGAAGTACTACTGGCATTTTCCATGTGCTAGTCTCTCTCTCTCTCTCTCTCTGTCTTTTTACATTTGCTAACTTGTTAAAGATCTGGACAATTCTTTTCCCCCAATAGTAACTTTTTATTTGTGTGTGTGTGTGTGTGTGGGGGGGGGGGGGGGGGGGGGGGGGGAGAGAGACCCTGTCTGGACCCTAGAGGATCCAAAAGGAGCCACAGGTGTAGTGGAGCAGTAAACTGGTCATATTCTTTTTCTCCTAAATTGGAGAAAGGGATACAGATCCTTCAAGTTCCAAAGTGAGCTGGTAGGGAGATCAGAAGTAAATTCCAAGTGAGCTCTATTTCACAGCAAGCTTGCATGATGCAGCAAGATTTTATGAAGTATTTGTTCTTGCATGGAGTTGGGACGAAAGTGGAATTTAGCATTATTCAAAAAGCAGGTTAGTGTGAATTAGAAGTATGGATACTTTGTGCCTTTCCTGCATGGTAGGGAGTTGGACTAGATAGCCCATGTGATGTTTTCCAACTCTATGATTCTAGTGTCTCAGTAGGTCTAGATAATTCTACAAGAAATATGTAGTTGAATATGAATGAAAGGGATAGCACAGTATACAACTCTTATTCATTTACTTTAAAAAGTCCTAGAATTGTTTTTAACACCACACACCTGTAAACATTTAATAGACTCATAAAGTTGGAAGAGACCACAAGGACCATCCAATCCTACTCGCTGCTATCTCCATAACGCTGTTTTATGAATTGTTTGGGATTAGAGAGGAGACGCACATAATCAATGTTTTGGATTCAGGTAGGATTCATATAGACATTAACCTGAAAGTAAGTCTTACTGAACATGAGGATTCTTATCTATGAGTAAATGTGTACAGGATAACACTGATTTTTTTAAAATGATGCAGCTTGTTTCTAAAGCATGTTAACCTTTCTTTCTAGGAATGTTCAAAATATTATTATTGTTATTGTCATTATTATTATTATTATTATTATTATTATTATTATTATTATTTACTTATCCCCCATGAGGATAGCATACACAATAGCTCCCTTAAAAACAATGATCATGTCTACCTCAATCTTGTCAGTTTACCTGAGAATAATGGGCACTGAACCCAGCTTGAGACATTTCCATTTCAAAAGAGGATGCCAGTTGGTCTTTTGTAGCTGTAAAACAGTGAATGCATTATACTTTAACACACATAGATGAAGTTACCAATATTAATTGCCAAAAGTTGCCAAATATTAATTTATTTAGCTATTTTGATTTAGATATTGATTTTCTATAAAAACAAACAAAATGGAGTAAAACAAAAAAAATATTTTTACTTCCTACAAAAATAATCCAAAACTTATTGGCACTGACATGCAGAACATCACAGAACATTATCATTTCCCTATCACAGGTCTTAGATGGTATGACTCACAGAAATCCTTTCTACCTTAAATTATTAACTATCAATAATAGGGTGTTTAGCTAATTATAGAAACAGGAACCTGCAATATTTCCAGACCTCATTGGTGGTTGTCTTGTTATTTATTTATTTCTATCCCACCTTTCTCCCTATAGGACCTCAAAGCAGCTAATAATGACATGACACAATACAATAGAATTTTAAAACAAATACATATGGTTATATATTTTTTAAAATGATTAAATATTTGTGCCTTGAGTATAACCTTTAAAATGCAATTAAAATTACATTTTGAAGATTCCACTCACAGCATCCCCAGCAGCCTGCCCCTCATCATTCATTAAAAGCCTGATGGCAGAGAAATGTCTTCACCTGTTTGTGAAAGGCAAGCAGGGATGGGTCATCCTAGTCTTTCTAGGGAGGGAGTTCCAGAGACTGGGAGCAGCCACCAAAATAGCTTTCCTTGAGAGGGCAATTGGCCTCAAGGTTAGCCAACATACGACTTATGACCCTTTGTCATATCTGTAGACCTCCGAACCTTCTCTATAGTCAATTATAAAAAGAATCCAATTCGCAGAAAACACAAGCAATTTCCTTTTAAAACAAAATGAAGACCTTCCACACCTTGTTTGGATTCTCATTTAGGCTTCTCCAGGTTTGTACTAGGATTTAATTTTGTTGCATTTGGCTAATGCCAGATCCCAGGAGGGGAAACTAACTCTTGGAACGCCAGTGTATTTTTGGCAACACCATTAGAGAACCTAATAATGGCATCTACAATGTTAGAGGTTTGTTTGCTGGCACAATGCCCAATATGAGGCATAGCCATATGCCATAGGGCAGCATGGCTATGCAGAAAAGTAAATGGACTCAGATCTTGTCAGAAGTAGTAAAACCAGAGAACTCTTCAGTCTTTCAGAACATTTTCCAAGTTGTTAAAGCAGTCATTGTGGGGCCGAAAATTCAGTGGGAGATTGGAGAATGAAGACGGCTAAGATACTGTTCCTTAGGAAAGGTCAATCTATCGCCAGAGGTTTATATAGAATTATAATTTCTTATCACAACTGATGGCTAAGATGGTTGTGGGACTCAAATGTTCTGCATTTAATTCTCTTTAACCTTGCTCTTTACTATCATACCATACTCATAATCTGCTACCTCATTCGTGTGTTGCAAATATACCAAACATCCTGCCCATGCACCTGATAAAGTGAATGGTGGTCAATAAAAGTATTTGATGTGATAAATTGGCTAGTCTTTAAAATCTTGTGGAACTCTTTGTTGTTTTAATCTAATCATGTGATTACGTTCCAGTTGAGAAACAGCAAGAACAACTTGGAACTTGGAACACATCATACTTTCTTTTTGTTGAAAAAACTTCAAAGCAAAAGACAGCTACTTAATTATCAAACAAACAAAAATCTTTTCAAAGTATCCATGCACGGCCTATTTATTATCTTCAGAATTATTTTTATTAGGTTATTAAAGAAGATTAACCTCTCAGATTACACACAACCACCGAGACAAGAAGCACAATGCAGTTGGACTTAAGAAGGAATGGATTATTTACTGCAAGTTATAAACACAATCAGTGAACACTCTGGGTATTTTTCAACAGATTTTATTATTTACATATTGCACCGGAATGCAACCCAGAAGTTATTGGGACTTTAGTGAGCCAGAAATGCTAAGGCACAAAGTATACACAATTAAACAAATGGTAACTGAAGCACATCATTAAAGGATGTGCCTTGTATGCAAAAGATAACAAGTTCAGTTATCAGCTTCACTGGAGCTCAGATTGGAGAAACCCCTAGCATTATCACCATGCTTTGCCCTCCCAAACCAATTTAGGTCAAGGAATTGTAATTTTTAAAACTAAAAGTCACTGAAAGCTTTGAAAAAACTGTGCCTATACTGGGCCAGGGGAAATGAAAAACATGGCCAGAAACAAAACACCATCCACATCGCCCAGAAGGCTTTGTGGGGATAGGTTTTTAGCAGTGCCATCTAGAAGGTTTTGCAGACACCTAGACTCCTATAATTGCTTATCTTTGGGTCATTCAAATAATAGTCTGATTTTGTACGAGGAGACTTCCTTTGTTCCTAATTCTAGGGATGATCAGTACAATATTAAAATTAGTAGCTAGAGAAGGTCCAATCAAAGGTTTTTATGAAAATGATTTCAGGGACCAATTAGGTTTTGCACAGATGAAGCTTAAGGGTGAAAACTAAATGTGACATTAAATGCACCAGATGGCTATTTAATACAAAGATCTGAAAAGTGGAAATACAGCATCTCTTATCCAAATTCCTAAATCTGAAATACTTCAAAATCTGAAATTGATTGTGTGGGTGTTTGAAATAATGACACCTTTGCTTTCAAATGGTTCAGTGTACATAGACTTTGTTTCATGGACAGTTACTTAAAATATCCCATAAAATTACAGTCAAACTTTGCATATAAAATGTATAAGAAACACTAATAAATTTAGTGTTTAGATCTGCATTTCCAAGATTTTTCATTATGTACATAAATGCAAATAAAAGTATTCCAAAATCAAAACAAAAACTTGAAATTCAAAACACTTTTGGTATCCAGCATTTTCAATAAGGGATACTCAACTTTTAGTAGTTTCTGGTCTCTCTAGTCCCATCTACATTGACAACTTAGGTTGGTGTAGAGACAGATCCATCCTGTGGTGACCAAATGCTTCATGGAGCTGATCTGAGATTATTCCTTAATGTGGCCTTGACCCACATTACTCAAAGTCAGGGGAAAGTTGGGCTGGTTCCAAAATATTCCTATGTATCCCAGGCGGCGCAGGGAAATACGATGTCACCGCCCCCCTTTCCAACCTCTGTGTCATAGCAGTATCCAGTTGCAACTTGTCTGCTGTCACATGCATTGATGTCGGCCATGTGACAGGGAGCACTGGGAAGGGGAAGAGGAGATGGATCTCCTCCTCTCACTCTTCCTTTCCTCACCAGTTACTTTTTCGCTCCAGCTAATATTATTGCAGGTTACAGCAGATAGGTAGGATCAATACTGCAGCTGGAGATCACCATAACACTGAGAGCAGGAGGTGGGGCAGTTAGGGAGGATGCTGATAGAAAAGAAATTTGTATATATTTTAATTCCAGGTAAAAAATAGATTTTCCATGTATTGGGAATGCATGATGAGAGGAATCCTGAATGGATGAAATTTTTCACATTGCAGAATTTATTTATTTATTTCTTGGTTGCATAGAAAACAGCAAAAGCTGGCATTCTGTCAAGCAGTTATGAATGCACAAGCTAGATTTCATAACTGGGTGGTATTGTGACTCTAACCCACTGCAGTACTGTATGATGGAGGCTGCTTTTGTTTGTGATGTAGGATATTACCAGCCCTCTTTTTCCAGCAAACTATAATGCAGCAATCAGAAGCAGGACACCACTGTCACACTACTTGTACTGCAAATCTCTCCCAGGGGAAGGTTGGAAATGTCATCCTACAATATTTCAGTTGTCAGAACAAACCTCTATTACTGGATGTGGCTGAAAGTAGTTAAGATAGGTTTGAGAAGTTGGAGTGGGAAACAATGCATAATTACACAATAGTAATTGTGATGTAAGATCTCAGTCATGTTCTGTACAAAAAATATTTTCTGTACAGTTTTCCACACAGAGAAGATGGTTTCCTGTGCAAAACCTAATATTTGCAAACAGAAAGTGCTGTTTTCTGCACAAACTTACATTTCTTGAGGTAGTCTGCATAGTTTGGGGAAATTGATTAAAGTAGAAGAGAGAGAAAAAGTTACAATGTTTTATCTTGCCCACTGGTATGAGATTATGAAATTTGTATTGCTAAATCAAAATCCCCCCCCCCAAATAAATTCCATGCCTATCACCCTCACATCAAAAGAAATTAGGAATGTCACAGATAGAAATGAAAGTTTCCTCTTCAGTAGTGTGAAGGGTTTGCATGAAACTGACAAAGGAATATCCTGTTGATTGTGCAGTATTCCCTTTTACACACATACAGCTTTGCTGGAATGCAGCCAGCATTTATACATGAGGAAATGAATAGTGTTCACAAGCCAAGTAGAAAATCATATAACTCTTAAATGAAACAAGCTGCAGTGCTGAGATCTTGATTCGTCCTACCATTGTTTCTATACAAATTCAATTATTCCAATGAGTTTCCAAATCATTTATTAGCAATAAAATGCTAATGCATACAGTTTCATCAGTGAATTCCTCTCTCTATATGGTCCCTGTTGACACTTATGCAACAAGATCAGTGGGATTATTTAGGAAAGACTGAGATATTAAAATATGAAGTACATACAGATGTTTCCCCTATTAACTCATATAATCACTTGCAAATTACTTGTGTTTCTGTCTAAAATTTTAACCACTATTAATGCCTTAAGCACTGAAGAAAATGCAAAGTGATCTCTGCTAATATAGCCTATAACATGAGATTGCAAGGGGGTTTAAATGTGAAGGTCATTGTGTGGCTCACAAACTTCTGCATGGCACAACCTCCAAATTTGGGAAATTGGTTATATTTACAAAGAAAGCTAATCTGGACATGGAAAAGATGATCAAAGGTGAGGAACAACTCTAAAATGCTGCCCAATATTCAGTAACACATCCTAAATCTTAGGGAATAAAATACTAATTTAATTTTTGAGAAACATTGACATTCATTTTTTTCTATGGTGATTTGGTATGGAGGTGAAGCTTGCCAGGATCCCAGATGAGGGGGATGTTACCCCAAATCGCTGACAGTTAGCCATCCTTGCAATTTGATAGGAACAGGGGTTACAAAGAAGTAATTAGAACACAATATGAGAAACCTGGCTAATCTTGAAATGGCAAGTTTATGTCACAAATCTGGAATCCAAAGGATGCCAGTCAAAAATAAAGTCAAGACACAACCAATATATACAGTCCAACATTTCACCATTAGAGAAACCCTCTGTATGAACTGATTGATCTTAGGAAGAATCTAGCAGCTCTGGTCACCAGGGGGAGTTGGTATTATAGAGCATATGACCCAGACTCTAGAATCAGTAATTGGGGGTTAACTCTGCATGCAAGCAGGTGGCAAACTAGAAACAGTGCTTGCAGTAGATCTAAGGTTACCAAGCATTTTGCAGATAAATTAGCACCTCTTTGGCTAAGGTACATATCTTTGACCATTACAATTTAACCAGGAAAGGGATACTTTTTGGACAAGGAGATTATTATAATTTTAAAATAGAACGTCTCAAAGCTCTGCCCATAATACTAGTGTTTTCAGTGAAAAAAGTTTCATGCCCAGAGTTCAAAACATGAAGGGTCCAAACAAACTGGGTTTTAAAAGTCTGGACATGCTGGACCCCAGATTGCATGGATCCTTCCTCCTAGACATACTTCACTTACTGAAGACTGAATTCAAAGTACAAGAGGATTTTAACCCTGCTGTGGGAAGAGCAGAACCTTCCCCTTCTTAGTAGATTCGGGCAGAAACAAACAGCTACAGCTTCTTGTAGTCCCTTCTCATCAATTACTTTTGCCACACTGACCACCTCTAATGCTGCTTGGTGACACTCTGGTATTGTTGGAAGGTAGCCTAAGATTCTACCAGGCCAAGCATAATATTTGTTATTTGTAAAATGTTGTAGAGTATGATGTTATCAGCAGGTAGCCATATTTGTCGCGGTATTGAGAGCAATAATAATAATAATAATAATAACAACAACAACAACAACAACTTCAAGCTCTGTGTATATTGGCTGCTCCAATAGAAACAATACATTAAATAATACATATAAGTGGGAAAATATATTGCCGTTTGTCAGATTTTGGCTTTATATGCACTGGGCTTTGGAGGCAATTGGTAGGGATTGAACAGAAGGTGTTTCCCGTTTTTAACACAGTTCCATCATCAAGGGAATAAAGATTCAAAATGTGCTAGAGAATTTCTTGATTTCTGGTCCAAAAAAGTATATTCCCAAGGTGTGGTAGTCTTGCTTTGTTCTTATTTGACTCTTTCCCCTGGTCTTTAATAAAGTGGTTATTATTATATTCATATACTCTTTGAGAACTGAAAAATATATCATTATTATTGACTCTACAAAAACTGATAGATTCTATAATTGTCATATCTTAATTAACTTACAAAATGGGAAAATATGGCAGTTTGATTATTTTTATATACCTCAAAGTCATTACTAAAACATGCTGGAAGAAAAAACAAAAGACAAAAAGAAAGCATACCTTCCAGGGCAAATATCCTCTCTCCAAGAGCTTCAACAATAGTAAGCAGGGCTAATTCATCTGAGACATTAAAAAAATGCTTCTCAGTTGGCTCGCTTGCAATAGATTTGATTTCTTCAACTAATTTATCAGTGCTGAGGTTCCCTCGATTATAATGACCAAGGATCTGCAATGTTGGGGGAAAAAAACACATATACACCCATCAAGAAGATGTATAAGCTGCAATTTCAAAAAGAAGTCTATCATTCACAACTTGAGGAAAATCTGGGAAATTAAAGAAGTATTAAACTATTTGTTAGTTCATGATATTATTTTGTTGCTTGATGCAAATCTTTCCACATTTCACACTGAGAAACTGAGTGACCTACTAGTACAATCTACCTCAAAATTGTTGGTGGCCTAGTACTTCTCACCAACCTGAGAAAATCTGGAGTGTTTAGGGATCAGAACAAGCCACATGGTACATACTACTTTGAGTTCAAACAGAGAAATGGTCAGGATGCCGAAGTGGAAAAGCCAAGCGGTTGTTTCTGCTGCCCCAACATTTGATACCTGAGGCAGCTGCTTCGCTCTGCCTAGCACCGCCCTGGCAATGATCAACTGTGGTCAAACCCAACTGAACATCCTTCAGCTCTGTATCCAAACTTTAAAAAGCAGGAAGTTTTAAATCAATATCTTAGTTGCTATTTTTACAGCAATCCAAAAGCATATTTACAAGGAATAGAATTATAAATTCATTTGGACAAAGAAGAGAATACTCTGTCTTGTTCTGAACAGTACATAAGGTTGCAAGTTACCAGTAGTTTGTCCTTATTGGTCTACTGGTAGTTTCAACTGTGGGAAACAGTATACCACATGAAAGGAGAGTTTGGTTTTCTTCCAAAGTCGCAATCACACTAGGGACAGCTGACCATGGAAATTGTCCATAAAATCCATATTATGAAAACATGCTTTATAGATTCATTCTTTTATGTGTTAAGACTGGGAGAAGCCTGAGGCTAAGCATATCATTTTTCTCAGGCTTTATTTTCTCTAGAGGGAGTTTTCCCTGACCAGAGGTTCCATAAGTGTTACTGTCTGGCAGTGAACCATAATCTTGGAATTCAGTCGTTGTTGAAACCTTCTGAGTCCATGCCAAGTGGTCAGTGACAGCTGGTGTCTTCTATGTCGATGGGGCAGGGAATGCTCTCCAGGCTTTGTGCAGTGACAAAGATTGTGAGTTAAGCTTAGGCAAGGGCAAATCTTGCTTTAGCTAAAAATAGTTTAGATAGTTGCTCAGCCATAGCCTTTCTTCTATCAATATAATTACAGTGGCACACTTTGCAGGTCTCTTCTACAGACAGCAAATACAGTATAAATACTAAATATTACTACTGTGAATGACTGTTATTTAGTAGATGCATTGTGTTTCTAGACAAACAAGAAAAGATAGGGCAAGCCTTCTATATTTTCCATCAATATTTCACTTACTGCAATAGAGAATCTTTGAATGTTTTCATCTTCACAATCCTGAATCACTTTTCCCAAGAGGTGGCTGTCATGAGATTCTCCATCGGTCACAACTACCATTACTTTTTGCACTCCTCGGCGTGCACCCCGAGCTTCTGTAAAAGCTTCTTTTCTGAGCAGGTATAGAAATAGAAATAAGGAGAATTAGAGATCTGGAAACACTCTATGAACTAAGGCTTACAATCAATTTTAACTGTTTTAGTTGTTGCATTTGTATCCACTCTTTACTCTGGTGATATAAAGGGTGCATATACGGTTCCGCTCTTTCCCACTTTATCTTTACAACAAACCTGTGGTATAGGTTGGACTTGAGATGAATGATTGGTCCATGGCCACACAGCATGCTTCATGGTTGAGTGAGAAGTACAGCCTGGAAATCCAAATCCCATAATCTAATAACATCACAGAATTACAGTACCTTTATCCACTTTAGCTGTCATGGTCACATTCTATGGAATCCTGGCTTTCGGGAGATGAGGCACTAGACCTTTCTGGCTGAGAATTCTAAATGCTCTTCTCTACACTGCATATCCCAGGATTTGATAGGATGCAGCCATGGCAGTTGAAGTGGAATAATAGTACTATAATTCTGTAGTGTGAACTGGCCTCCAGTCCAAAACTAACCACTATGCAATGTTGGCTGTCTAATATAATAAACAGTGCTCAACGTGTATTTATGGAAGTAACAACAAACCGATAGGAAATGAATAAGACTGGCACTGCACATACTTCCCAGAAATTTGAATGTTATTTTTGGACTCTAATCCACCATCCATTCATGGTCTTAAAATCTAACATTCACCATTGTGCCACAATATAACATGGCCAGTGTCCATGTCGATTCTGGAATTCAGAGAATTATTCTTCAGAAAAGGTAACATTTAGGATCACTACCAATTCCAGGTTGATGGCACCTAATAACCGCAGTCAAGAGGCATTGTACAGCTATTCTGTTTTTCCCTCCAATATGGATTTTTTTCACAAGTGGGGTAATGATGTGTTAGAAAAGTACCATAATTCAAAAAGTAATGGCTTAGCTTTGGATCAACTGGATCAAGTGATTCTTTTGTATCCATTACACAATCTCTTCCCATATATTATCATTTGGTGTGATAACAGGGCACTATTCTAAAAATGTACAGAAATCCCACTAAACTAGAAATATTGAGAATGGTTGGAGGGTCCAAACAATCTCAATACAATGTAGCAGAACTCATCATAGGTTAGTCTATAAAGTGGTTAATTGGGATGTGTGCAAAAAAAACAAGATAGCTCATAAGGCTGGTGCCTTTTCACAACATGGTATGTGCCTACCTTGCTGTGTCGATTCCAAGAGCTGTCATAGTCCGGTGTCCACCCCTCTGACCAATCTTCTTTGCTGCAACCAGTACTTCTTCCACAGTCATGTATGTGTTAAGGTTAAACTCATGGGTTACATTTTCTCCATATTGAACAATTCCAACCTGCATAAATGATTTCCAGATTAAATCAGTTTCACCACAATGATGTTTTAGGCCCCATCTCCCCTGCCAGATAAGATTCAGATTATCTGCCTTGAACTGTATTATATGGCAGTGTAGATTAATATAATCCAGTTCAAAGCAGATAATCTGGATTTTATCTGGCTGTGTCGATGGGCCTTAGAAGTCATTAATCTTCTAGTTGAGTCAAACTAGAAGATTAAGTCCACTCAACATCTATTACCCACACTGAAAAGATATAGTAGGAAAAGATTTATAAATGGAATACCTTCAAAGAACAAAAATAATATGAAAGCTGGTAATTCCACAGATATATAAACCTAATTTTCCTAGTTCCAACAGACCTCTGAGGATGCTTGCCATACATGCAGGCAAAACGTCAGGAGAGAATGCCTCTAGAACAGGGGTCCTCAAACTAAAGCCCGGGGGCAGAATACGGCCCTCCAAGGTAATTTATCCGGCCCTCACTCAGGGTCAACCTAAGTCTGAAATGACTTGAAAGCACACAACAACAACAACAACAACAACAACAACAACAATCCCATATCATCAGCCAAAAGCAGACCCACAGTTTCCATTGAAATATTAATACGTTTATATTTGTTAAAATTGTTCTGCATTTTAATTATTGTATTGTTTTTAAGTGTTTTTTGTTCTACAAATAAGATATATACAGCATGCATATGAATTCATTCATGTTTTTTTTTCCAAGTTATAATCCGGCCCTCCAACAGTTTGAGGGACTGTGACCTGGCCCTCTGTTTAAAACGTTTGAGGACCCCTGCTCTAGAACATGGCCATATAGCACGAAAAAAACTACAACCCAATATGGAAGCTGCTTATTATTTGAATTATTTGCTAATTATTTGAATTGTTTAATTCCATTTAGTAATGTAAAATAGATGCATCATTGTTATTAGATGCTTTCAAGTCAACTCTGAGTTACAGTGATAATCTGATAGCATTTTCTTGGCAAGATTTAGTAAAAGAAAGTGTAACATTGCCTGCTTCTTTATTGGAGAACTGACTTTCCCAATATCATCCAATGATCTCCATGTCAGAGCTATACTCATTCCTTGATCTTCTAGTCCAATACTCAAGCCACTATACCACACTAATGTCTCATAGTGGTCTTAAATTATGCTAAATTGACTACATCTTTCCCATATTGTTTATTAAAGAGATTTTATTGATTATATCCTGTACTATGACCCACTAAAACATGGTGGATTAGAAATATTTTAATAATCCTTTAAAAAAGCAATCAGTTAGATTCTTTAATTTATAAGAATTATAAATTTGGAGCATATGTACAAAATACATAACACATGGGATTAACAGCTCAACAAAATCACTTTTAGAGTTGTGTAACAAAATAAGAAAGAAGATATGCAATTTTACCAAACTACCCGCATCTCCATTTGCTTTAATGTTGCTAGGAGGTTAGTCAGACACCTGACTACCTGTGATCTTCATGATGTTCCATTAGCATATTTCAAGTTGATGTTTGGCTTTGATATTTTGAGTGTGCTGCAGCTCTGCCCTGCTGTAGGGAGATAATGCACCTTGATTTGGCATATTTATCTATGACTCATCTATTATTAAAGCCCCTATAAGGTTGAGATGTTGAAGATCAATAAGGCCTCTACGGTTTTTATATAGCCATATTCTTTTTATGGCTGGACCATTTTGCATTTTAGGTTTTGAAGATATGCTTTTTTATCAGTTTTATGGTCAGCACTTTCACTATGAATGTCTTTGTTTATTACCATTCACTATGTCACATGAACTGAGGAGGAGCGGAGTGGCATAGATGTTTTACTGTTACGAACATTAAAAAACAATGATATTGCTATTACTATGATTATCCAGTTTCACCTGAAATAATTGAAGTTATGAAACAAAAGTTGGAAGGTAACCCAAGATCCATGCAGGGGTCCACTGTTAAAGTATTCTTGAGAAGTGGCCATGCAGCATCTATTTAGAGATGTTCAAAGAAGGAGGGTCTAGCACCATATCAGACAATCTGTTCATTTTCAAACACTTTTCACCATTAGGAAGCTCATCCTAATGTTTAAGCTTTCTCTTAATTTCCTCCACAGGAAACCATGCTTCCTTTTGGAGAAATGCAGGGGAATGCATATTCCCCACAACTTACTCATTTTCCTTTCCACAATAGCATGTCTTCAATGATACGTTCCTTGACAATCATATATGCAAATTAACTCTGGGTGTATCTTTCAATGGTCATGCAGAGACAAAATGTACAGAATGTAATGTATGTAGATGAGGAAAATCACATATTATCAACACGTCTGGGTTCAGAACTTTCAAAACTATGATAAATGTTTTGTTTTGTTTTGTTTGTTTCTCATGTCCACTTGAGTTGCACTTGATATCTAAGCATCATCCATCATCTCTAGCATTTCTTTCACCACATTACAGTCAATCACCAGAACCAAAAAACGTACAAACGTCAGAATAAGAATATATACATTTAGGCATTAAGAAACAATGTCTAAAGCAAAGTTAAAACCAAGGATTGAATATGATACCTGTGTCTGTTGGGGACCTATGTTCATATTTTTCAGCAAACTGTTCAAAAACTCAGTTACGCTCTCCCATGGATAAATACTATTGGAGCCATCAAGAACTATGACAATGTCCAATTCGGTATTGCATTCTGTAAAATGAATGATAGATAAACATCTGTTCAATAGCTATTAATAATGCCATGGCTTTTCAACTGAAAGCAAGCTAATACTATTCTACTCATAACAGAGATGATTAGCCAAAGAGTTCAGAAAAAAAGTCAAATACTTCTGTTGATTCTGCACAGTAAGGGTGGATATGGGACATTTGTGACTCCTTATCCAATATTTGCAGTGCCAGAAGTTCTTCCACCAATCTCTCAAAGACCCTGACTTGCCCAGATTTAGATTTTTTTTCAGTGAAAAAAGATGTCCACTCATCCCCCAATCATCAACAAATGCTTCACTTTTCATCCCAGTTGCTCTCAAAATGGTAGTCCAAATTCACTTTGAACTGTTATGAACGTGTAATACCATAGATACATACGTGTGACTCTTTGTCATATCTCTTCATTCTTTGATTACCAAGCAGTGGCCACTACAATTAACAGGGGTCTGTTCTCCTCTGAGTTGGGAAGCAATTGCCTGATGGCCCCACACCCTTCCATGAGTGATCTCTGATGTGACAGAAGCAGAGTCCTTATCACAATCTACCCTTGCACTAGAGATTACTTGGATAAGGAAGGTGGGACTATCAGTCATCTGCTTCCCAATCAACAAGGCAACAGACTCTCATCAAATGTTGCAGTAGCTGCCCAGTAAATCCAAATTAGAGGACTTTCATGGACTCTATGTATCCATATTCATGTTGAGGTCATGAATATGAACCAATCACAAATGTGTAACATTTGTATCTAAGGACTTCAACAGATGGAGCTGGGGAAAATGGGGGAAATTGTCTTCTTTGTATGTAGAATTATCTTCTTTGCATGGGATCCCATCTTTAAAGGAGAATTTGTTTACCTCTATCACACAGGATTACTTCCTCCTACCTTTCGCTCAAACATTCATAGAGGAGATGTAAAGCATTATTCTTAAGACAAACACTATTTTTATGAACTCTTTTACTTTCCTCCTCAAGTCCTTTACAATAATTTAAAAAAATACTGCTCCAGGCTAATGCAGAAGGATTTTGTAAAAAAAAAAAAAAGAGAGAGAGAGAGAGAGAGAGTAAAGCATAGGAGATCATCCATAGGGACACCCATTCCTCTATGTCACTGAAACAAATCAAATGGGTGAATCCGACAGATACGTGTTTTTAAGCACTTTCTTCCATTTCCACTTGCATCAGGAATTCAGAAGGTAATTTCTCCCCGGCTTGATCCCTCCAATTTCTCTACACTTCTGACACACTTCACTGATGAAACACCACAGAGTACTACAAAGCCCATCATATAACACGGACAGACTTCCAGCTGTCATATGAAGAGCTCTGTGACACTTTGTCTATGAACTGTTTTAAAACAGGGAGGGGAGGGATAGGGGACAGACACTTGTGCATGATAAAGTTCTTAGTGGATTCTGGCTAATTCTTGTTTTACAACCTTTTCTGGCTCAGTTCATAAGGGAGACTAGCAAAAGGAATTGGGGCTCATCTTCCCTTCACCACTGCCAACATTCAAATAACCCCCACATTTTCCTTTACTGCAGGGCTGGAGAACCTGTGGTTCTCCAATAGTTGATGAACTCCAAATCTCTTCAACTTTAGCAGAACTTGCTAGTGGTGAGGCATGATGGAGAGTATTAAATCAGCAGATTCTGAGGAGCAACACCCCTTTCCACTTTAAAAGACTGAGTAATATTGTAAGTTGTCTTTCTTAGTGCATGAGAAAGAAAAAAAGTATATATTTTCTAATAATGTCTATACTGACATTTTGTATTTGCCTATGATCTTTATTAAGGGTTGTTTGTTGTTTTGTACTGATTGTGACTCCTTCTAGCCAACACATGACTATGCATGTGGCTCACAACATCATAACAAGAAATGCCTGTAGTTTTTTAACGGGGTGCTTTAAAGGTTAAAGGAATTATTGAAAGAAATACTGTGTATGGCTTCCTGATTCTCATGTTACATTGCCTTGAATGGAACGGCTGTGATGGCTCACATGTGGAAATAACAAAAAATATATAAAGTTTGAAATGGTCCACAATCAAGAAAATAATGGTTCCAGCCTCTTTGAGTATGACTCAGACAAATTGAAAAAACATGGTTATGAACCTGGTATTACTTAAAATTGTCCTCAGCCAGGGAGCAAGGAAAAGAGAGGAAGAAGGAAAACCATATCCACCCACAGCATACTGTACTGTAAAGAACCAAATCAACCTTATGGCTCATTGTCAGCCCTGACTGATCCTACAGACTGAGTTTGCTTCAGTTGTTCTTTCCCGTCAATTTCAGTTAGTACATTTTGAGGGGGAAAGGAAAAGGGAGTCATCTCCCATCTTTCAACCACATACTTTGGTGGCATGTGGCAGTTCAGCCATAGTTTACCTATAGAGCCTGCTGACTCCCACCCCACATCACAGAGGAACTTCTGGTGGGGCTCCATGCATAAACTATAGCAGAACTGTCATATGCCGCTGCCACAACAAGCTTCCCGTGTTGCACCAGAAGCAATGAGGGAAGCCGCACAGTTGACGCTTGCTCCCGTGGGATTGTCATGCTGGTAAGCTGGGTGATGCAGGGCGCTGGATGAGTTTCCCATGCCCCCCAATGGGCTCTATTGGATTTACAATGATCTGGGGTGATTCCGGCAGCCTTTATGATAAAGTCCTTAATCTATGGCAGCCTTTGTGGTTCACGCTAGCTTCCAAGAAAACATAAAATATATACTATCTCTTAGACCATAAGATCCAGAGGTGAAGCACAACAGACAAATATATTTTGGATTTTGGAGTATTTTGGGTTTTGGAATTTTGAAAAAATTATATTCAACCTGCACTAGCTTTTGAAGCCATTAACTTGTTTTTCAGACGAAGCCAATAAAAAACCCACAGAGTCATCCAGGGGAAGAGAAATGACGATGTTAGAATCACAGCTCTGAATCTTGCTTGTGGTATTTATAGAAGGAAATCTTCTACAGACAGAAAGCTTTGTCCAGATCTATGGTTTTAAGAAGACTAGGAAGAAAAGCAGTAAAAGACCTCTTTATTGAAACACTTCTTCAACTTCTAACTGGATTGGACAGTAGAAAGTCAATGTGCTGGTTTTTCATACATAATAAGTTATGAGTTTGCAGTTTCTTACTATTCTAAATAATGGTTTTAAGTGAATTGTTATTTAATAGTTTTTACATTTTATATTCAGATTGGTTTGATTTAATGTACAGTTCGATTCCTGTATAGACAGGCCAGTATCAACAATTTCATTTATCTATGTCCAACAAAGTATATCTTCTCTGGCCATTTTCTAAGTCTTCTAGTTTCACTTTTTAGTATTACTGAGCCAGAAGTTTTAATTTTGTTAATATCTGTGCTTTCACATATTCACACAAAATCCATGAATGTATCCTAATGGATAAAGAGGTTTTACTGTACAATGTTAGCCACTTTGGGTTTCATATAGAAGGAAGGAAGGAAAGCAATGAAATGTTTCTTCTGCATTTGCACCCACAAAATTCTTTCCTCTGAGATCTGGATCTTTTTCTATTCAAATATCAAGAGGCATCTAGAAATGACATTGGGATCCCTGTGCCTGGGAAGCCAGACTCCAGCCAGTCTCTTAATTACACAGGGCAGAGCCCGATCTTAGCTAAATGTTGTTTTTTTGTAATCAAAACTTGAGCAGAACTTTACTGTGGCAGCTTTTATACTTCTGTTATACAAGATGTGAAAAAGCAAGTTTATGAGGGTGCCTTGAGTCATTTGTCTTCTCGATCTAAAGAGTACTTAGGTCACCATGACTTTCGGAAGATTATTTTTAGCCAGAACTTTGCTCATGACATAGCATCCCGAATTCTGTTTATGCAAAAATGGATTCCAGAGGCAGCAAGCAGTTAGGTAATATACAGACAATGATAACATTTACTTAACTTGGTAATGCTGGTAGCCTTGACAGATGGACTGGGCTTTTGGCACATCCTTTGTATACATTAGTCTCCCCCGATGCTTAACAATTCCAACACATACAAGAGAAGATTTCTTATACACATACCTTGTACAGATGGGGCAATGGAGTTGACAACCTCAAAACTGGAGCTGACATTGGAACAGATGCCAGTTGTGTAATGCAGGTGTCCACACTTATAAGCATAAAGAGGCCCACATGCCTTTTGTAAGGAAGAAAAAGGTCATGATTTAAACAGCCCAGATTATTTTATAATGATCTTCTAGCCCTGCAGGATCAAAATGGCTGAAAACATGATTCTTGAAATTCATAATAGTAGTAAAAGTATGACAAAAGACGCAGTTATGAACCTCTTTTAAGATGCAGCAGAACGGGCCAATGAATGAACTACCAACTGGATCTGGTCTAGGTTATTCTAAAATCCGGTCAGTTTTATCAGATTAAATAAAAAATAAAAATGCAGATAAAATATTTGCCCTCAAAAGGGACAAAACATTTTCCTACATAAAAAAGAAAGAAAGAAAGATAAAGAAAAGAAAAATGAAAAAGAAGAAAAAAGAATGCTACGCCATTTCATATTAAATGCAGTACTGTACATAACTGTCTTTGTGAATTAGGCATGACAGCCACATACAAGTACACATACACCATATTTATATATAATACTGTGGCTAAGAAAATGTGGTCCAAACTGGGAAGTAACACCAACTTCAGTCAGGGTCTCACATGGCAATGGAATTAGAAGACAAATTTGGGAAAAGATCCTGGACTGATATGTGAAGCAAAATTGCATGTATATGTATCAAAAAGAGTACCTCCCACATTGTTTCTTAAATCTAAATATTAGATGAGTCTAGAATTCCAATAGCACAGTATAAGCAGAGTAGCTCAGCTTTTTTCCTTCTTTGTGCCCGTTGAAAATCAGCTCTTTTTCCTGTTTTGCACCCTTCCTTGTACCTTGAAAATCTGTAGGCACCTCTCAATTTAGTAGGGAAAATAGTTGAGGGAGCTCCCTGGAGGAAGCATATATAGATGAACCTTGGCTAAACTCTTCAACAAACAGAAGATTTTTCTGAAAACAAGGGATGAAGGACCTATGGCTCTTTGTATTCTTTGTCACAATCAACATGACGTATATTCATTTCTAGATGTCAAGAAGTCCAGAGAATCTCCTCCCTTGCCATAAGTGCTTTCATTCCACAAAATATTGTTGAAATCCAAGGCATTCTAAATATAAATTTAATTTGCACAACAGTCAGACAAATAGGCCCATTTCACAGGCCATTGTTTTTCCTTCCAATACTAAATGGTGAAAACAAAGCATGGGGTTTTGCTCTGTACTTTGTATAGTATGTGACCATCTGGAAGTTTCCTCTTTCTGCTTTCCTCCCTTCCAACAAACCAGAAAAATAAGTTAAGAACAAACCAAGGATTTTTTTATGCATTTTCTTGGGAAGGAACAAATCAGAGAGAGAATGCTGTTGGCTGCCAGATGATACAACAGAATATCTTTTGCTGAGTAACTGAGTGGTATGCAACCACATATACCTCTTGGATATTCAATCACAACCAGTCCAGGTCCCTGGTTCCTTGTCTGGAGTAGATTTACTTGCACTCCACCTATATTTGTGGAAAAATACTTATACACTCACCAAAAAACCTCCTTTGGGATTGGTCACTAAAGTGGATCCGAGGGTCATGTTCTCCTTTACTTCTGTTACTTGGGGAATGGATGTGTTCACTATAAATAGACAAAAAATGTTAAGTATGTGTCTGTGTAAAAACAAGATGTTAAACCATGCAGTCATTTATCTAAACTGAAAAATCCAACCTTTTATACATAAAAAACAAGTTCGTTTTTGTTTCCCTGCTTCCTCCCTGTTCCTTCTTGATTAGAATTCTGCTCCACAAGTCAAAGGTCTGGCTCTCATTCCAGAACCCTGTCTGGGACACAGCTTCACATAGTTTTCTTGAACCTCAAAGAGAATGTCAGACCAGCAATGTAGTGACAACAGAAGACAACCATGCACATAAATGTGCTTCTTAGAACAAATAAACTTTCCTATCTGTATATAATGCTGCTATCAGAATGATAGATTGTTTGATATAAACAGATTGACAGCATATTTAGCATTATAGAAAAGGATCATTTCCGCTAATTGCAAAGTGACTGATGCAAAATCATGTTGGCTATTTAAATTGACTTGCTTGTAAAAACAAGGCCTTATCTGTCATCGAAATTGAGGTCTGATGGTGGAGATATGAGGAAAAAGTTGGGTTCTCCTTCTCCAGTCCAAAACTTCCCATTGACAAGAAAAGCAAGAAAAAGAGAAGGGGGGAATTGTTTGTTGAGAAACTGGTTCTTCAGAAGAGGCAATGTGGACCTTAATTGATCCAGTTGCTTCTTCCTAAACTGAAAGTATTTGTTTTAAGAGCTGAAATCTGGCATGGTTGGCTGGTTCCAAGGGCTTCACAGATTGTCTCCTAAAGAGGAATTATCACAAACACAAATGTTGCCTCTGTCTTTGCTGCGTTGAATAGAAGAAGTCTCAGGAGATATTGCACTTATGCTTGCTTGGATATTAGCTGAATACTCCTTGATTCCTAGCGTTCTGGTAGCTCAATATGACAAGGCTGGGGACTCAAATGAAGTGATACATATATGGATAAATAGTAAGCAAGGATAGTATGTGTGAATTAACCAATTACTCTTACACCTTGAAGCCTTATGCACTATCGTGAATGCCTCAACAGGACTAGTATTTCTGGGAAGTGTCCATCCAAACTTTCAAAGTAGGGAGAGTCCTTTACATTCTGCAGATATTTGCCCCACTGGTAAAACAGCTCATGTCATCTGGACATTCTTCCTGTGATTTTGTCGACATTTCTGTTATGACTTGACTTTGCTAGTTTGGAGCGACAGAGAACAAGTGTGTACTCCCTTGTTTTTCAGGATGTGAAGCCTTAGGATGTGATCCTAAGATGACAACATAAAGTCATAGAGAGGAAAAATGCAGACAAGGCCTTCACTATTTATGTGCGGGGCCTCTTCTCAATTTCTGACAGGCCTTTTATTCTCTTACCTGGCAAGTTTAATTTTACACATGGCAAACCATTGTCCCTGCCAACAGGACATTTATAGACATCACCCGTTTTCTTCTGGGGTTGACCAGCCAAGGGAGACCCTATTAGCACCCTGAAAAAGGAATGAAATCACAGTTACCATCTTGGTTGTTTTAATCCTAGGATTCTTACAATTAAAGGCTTGTTTCTTTCATTAAAACAAATCAACATGGCAGGAGATACAAAGGGAAAATGGGCATAATACGATATCCAATGGCTCTAGCTGCTTATAGTCTTGGTGAGGGCTGGGGAGGAGTGAGTATATGCACAGAATGATGTCCAAAAAAGATCTCACCATTTTCCTTCTTCATTTTCAAATTGCTGAACAGTGTATCCAAACATATCTTCCACTGGACCGCTAAAGGTAATTGTATCTTTCACGTCAACGTTGAAAGACACAGCGAGATGCAGCACAGCTGTGAAAGAAGAAAAAATAATATGGAAGAATGTGCATAGCTTCTCTGGGATTGGTCGTGGATGAGGCTTAACTATGGTGAGTGGGTTCTTTCTGGGAGATGTGATGAATTTCTACACATTAAATTTGCTATCACATAGCTATTAATATTTAGGTCATGGTTGAAAAGTAGAGACTTTTCAAGACTTATTTGATATGCATATGGAATTTGTGAAGCAAAACTTCCTTCTTTCTGTGATTGTGCCTTTACTTTATTTAGCAGTTCAACTAGTCTAGCATGTTGACCTCTCTGGATCCAATCTTGCACCTAGCCAGGTACCGACTCTATGGATCATACCTATGATCATACTTTAGCCTCACTTGGGAATTCTCCCATATGTCATATTCTTTTCACTAAGATAACACCATCCTTCTTTTCCCAGTTCAATGTTCCTGATAATACTAAGCTAACATTCTTTAATTTCCTGGATCCTGGCAACCACACTCACCCCCTCCTGCTTATGCCATAGCCTACAGTCCAACTTTTCCCTATATCATCACTCTTCCTCTTTGCCAATCCCCCTCGTGTTTATGATGGAACTTCTTTTACTCTGATGGCATACTTCATTCAAAATATCTATTTTTTGGTCATATTGAGATTACAAAGTAGATTTAAATGTGTACGAATTTATCTTCACAATGCTCTTAGCCAAAGTTGAATGTTGTCAAGTCAACTTTGACATATGGTGACCCTATGTAGGAGAGGCCTCCAAGTTATCCTATCAACAGTCTTGTTCATGTCTTGCAGAATCACGGATATAGTTTCATAGATTGACTCTATCCTTCCATCTGTCAGCTCCTGCTTCCCATGAGGGAACATGAGAGAAACCTCCCACAGGATGGTAAAACATCTGGGTGTCCCCTGGCCAATGTCCTTGCAGAATCCAAGTCAGAATGGATATGAGCAACTTTATCTGCAAAGTGTCATGCAAATTATTCACAGGTGTAACTATAGTGTGGACAAATTAGGGCTTTGCCTCCACTAATAATTTTGTCTTCTAATGAAACTTCCACCAGCCCCCACATTTCTAGCCTTGCGTTGGCTTAAACTTTCAGTCAAGCATTTGGATATATGTTTAAGTTTCCATAGAAAAAAGGAATGCAAATACAGAAAATTAAAGTGTTTTAGGTAGGAATGCTTTTCAAGGTTTCTCTCTCTGAAATTTGGGTAATGAAAGCAAATTCCATGATACATAGAAAAGAATTTGTATCAGGAGAGGCTATGCCTTAATTGTCTCCCAATCCTATAGCTATTCCCTGTTGCACATTTCCAGCAGTTTTTGAAAACCAGAATTGAGCTTTGGCCACTTGTCTTTCACTTTTGAAAGCATTCCTGGCAGTTTGTGTAGCCCCCATGAAGGCCCGGGGGCACAGAAGTAGCCCTAGCCAAACCCAGTGCCCCATTCCTGTTGTAAGCTCTTGACTATTCCTACAACAAATGATCACAGAGAAATTACTGCCAGCTGAACATTGGTGTCTGAAGATCTTGCTGTCCTTTAAACAGAGTTAGGCCTGAAGTATTTTTTGAAAAGCCACAACTGAAACTCATATGGCTATTAATTCCATACTTGGCTAAGAACCAATATTTCCAATAAAACCATGTACAAAGCTTTCTATTTTTCCAGTGAAGGGCTCAAATGTGCCTATTTATTCCTATAAGCCATGAAAGAACTTTTGTTTAAATGTTCTTCTAGCATCTCTGCCTTAATCTTTAGCCTTTGCTGAAGAGGAAGCTGACATCCTGGACAAGTGCCAATAAACAATAAAAGCTAGAATTCTCTTTATTAGAAAAGAGACAACTGTCCACCAGAGCAAATCAGAACTATGGATCTTGCAAAAAGCTCAAATTCCATAATTAAGACATGTTGGATTTAGTATTAGACTTTGATCAAATCCAGTGAATAAAGGCTTTGTTCACTGCCATATACAAAGTTACGAATTTTCCTTGTTCATAGATTTACAGGAACTGACAAATATGCTAAGCATGGCCTTGACATGTTTTTGTAAACATGTAAAACTGATTTGGCAGAAATCTGTGTAGGACATAGCTCAGGAAAATGTAACTTGTTCAATGGAGTAACTAGAGCTAGTGTGGTATAGTAGTGAATAAGAATTAAAGAGCTGTGGGAATGCATTAGGAATGGAAAAGAAAATTAACTGTTGTGTTTTAAATTAATGTACTATTTATTAATATCCTTTTGTTTTCCATAATTGGAACAAAATCGGAAGTGACTTGTTCACAAATAATCATGTACAGCTTCAGGAAAAAATGTGCGTAACTATAAGTTAATCAATGGCAAAATGCCTGCTTTAACAAAAAGGTTTTTAAGAAAACTACAAAAAAAGTTTATTCTTTAGAGAAGGGGTTTTCAGCTGCTGGGCCCTTTTTGAAGCATTTTTTTTCTTGTGGAGCCCCCCAAAATGTGTATGTGCGTTATCTATATCTATATCTATCTATATATGTAATCTATCTATCTATCTCAGGCATGGGCAAGCCTTTTGATGCATTGCGTTTTAAAATGGGACAGATGGGTTGGGTCAGTGGCAGATGGATGGAGAGTGTATGTGTGAACAAACTGAAAAAAATGAACAAATTCCTATGCACACTGCCCATAGCTCATTTGTAGTGCAAAAAAGGGACAATACGCTATTTAATGAATGAATTAGAACCAGACATCCTGAGGAGTGAGGTTGAATGGGCCTTAAGAAGCATTGCTAACAACAAGGCAGCAGGAGATGACGGGATCCCAGCTGAACTGTTTAAAATCTTAAAAGATGATGCTGTCAAGGTGATGCATGCCATTTGCCAGCAAATATGGAAAACACAAGAATGGCCATCAGACTGGAAAAAATCAACTTATATCCCCATATCAAAAAAGGGAAATGCGAAAGACTGCTCAAACTTCCGTACAGTGGCCCTTATTTCTCATGCCAGTAAGGTAATGCTCAAGATCCTGCAAGGAAGACTCCAGCAATACATGGAGCGAGAGTTGCCAGATGTTCAAGCTGGGTTTAGAAAAGGCAGAGGAACGAGAGACCAAATTGCCAATATCCGCTGGATAATGGAGAAAGGCAGGGAGTTTCAGAAAAACATCTACTTCTGCTTCATTGACTATTCTAAAGCCTTTGACTGTGTGGATCATAATAAATTGTGGCAAGTTCTTAGTGGGATGGGCATCCCAAGCCACCTTGTCTCTCTCCTGAGGAATCTGTACAAGGACCAAATAGCAACAGTCAGAACTGACCACGGAACAACAGACTGGTTCAAGATTGGGAAAGGCGTACGGCAAGGCTGCATCCTCTCACCCAACCTTTTTAACTTGTATGCAGAACACATCATGCGATGTGCGGGGCTGGATGAATGCAAAGCTGGGGTGAAAATTGCTGGAAGAAACATTAACAACCTCAGATATGCAGATGACACCACTCTGATGGCCGAAAGCGAGGAGGAGCTGAGGAGCCTTCTAATCAAGGTAAAAGAAGAAAGCGCAAAAGCCGGGTTGCAGCTAAACATAAAAAAACCAAGATTATGGCAACAAGAATGATTGACAACTGGAAAATAGAGGGAGAAAATGTGGAGGCTGTGACAGACTTTGTATTTCTAGACGCAAAGATTACTGCAGATGCAGACTGGGCCAGGAAATCAGAAGACGCTTACTTCTTGGGAGGAGAGCAATGTCCAATCTCGATAAAATAGTAAAGAGTAGAGACATCAGACTGGCAACAAAGATCCGCCTAGTCAAAGCCATGGTATTCCCTGTAGTAACCTACGGATGTGAGAGCTGGACCTTAGGGAAGGCTGAGCGAAGGAAGATCGATGCTTTTGAGCTGTGGTGTTGGAGGAAAGTTCTGAGAGTGCCTTGGACTGCGAGAGGATCCAACCAGTCCATCCTCCAGGAAATAAAGCCCGACTGCTCACTGGAGGGAAAGGATAGTAGAGGCAAAGATGAAATACTTTGGCCACATCATGAGAAGACAGGAAAGCTTAGAGAAGACAGTAATGCTGGGGGAAGTGGAAGGAAAAAGGAAGAGGGGCCAACCAAGGGCAAGATGGATGGATGGGATCCTTGAAGTGACTGGACTGACCTTGAAGGAGCTGGGGGTGGTGACGGCCGACAGGGAGCTCTGGCGTGGGCTGGTCCATGAGGTCACGAAGAGTCGGAGACGACTGAACGAATGAACAACAACAAACGCTATTTAAATGAAGAACCACATAAATTTAACAGTATTTCAGTGGAGGACCAGTCCAGCCCCCTTCTTCCATGCAGGAAAAGCACAATCAAAGCACTCCCTGAGCAGTGGGAGGGAAATTGGGTTTTGGAAGCAAGGAAGGTGAAGGGAAAAGGATCTGGGTGGCAAAAGAGGTGAAGAGACAGAGGAGAGAGGAACCACAGAGCCCTTAGTATGTTTTGCGGTGCTCCAAGGACTCCATGGAGCAGTTTGAGAATCGCTGTTTTAGGGAAAATACATATCAAAATACACAAAAATACTGTCACAAAACCAGATATGAACCAAGAACAGAAAGAAAATACAAATGGAAGAAAAGTGAAAATGAGACAGAGGTATTTTCAGATCTTCAATTAAAATTCTACTCTGTGGCAAAAGTCCATTGGGAATCGCCATTGTGTCTATCACAAGGAATTATTACAAATGTATAATGATGGAGAAAAGATATTGATATTGTTAACATTGCCTTTAGCTCTTCAAAAGACTGGATTCATAGTGCTATAATTGTGGAACGTGAAAGAGGCTCTCAACAGTGCATGGGTGGTTTCTTTTAGGGCTGAAAGCAGAACTAAATAGTTATTAGATTAAAAAGGGCTCCACTTGGCAAATCATCACAAATAATTTAAAATCATACAATGGACTTCAAGATTTCAACTCTCCAAAGCCAAAATGCTCAGTGGCAAGGAATTATGGATAATTCAATGCTTCTGATGAGTCAGATATTCTCCACCTCTATTCTCCACTATGTGTGATTTTTTTTTTCAATCATTGAGCAGTCATGTTGGATTCAACCATGCTCAATCTGTGTACATCTAGTTTGAAAGCTTTTGAAAATTCAACATTTTTCAACATTGTAACTCCAATTTTACAACCACTAAGGAATTGTTAATGTTGTAACCTGCACATATTTTGGCATTAAATGTGATAATGACAGTATGCTTTAGATAAAATACCATTATACTGTACAGGGAAAGCACTGAGAAGAACTGGAGGTAGAAAGAAACATTGTCCTCAATAAATGTCATCTATCTCTTCAAATACTAGCAGTACAATCCTATACGTGCCACTCAGAAGTGCCAAGAGGAAGGCGCGTCAAGCCAACCCCAAGTGATTTCCATTGAGCTCAGTTGAACTTAGTCCTAACATTGTAACTCCAATTTTACAACCACTAAGGAATTGTTAATGTTGTAACCTGCACATATTTTGGCATTAAATGTGATAATGACAGTATGCTTTAGATAAAATACCATTATACTGTACAGGGAAAGCACTGAGAAGAACTGGAGGTAGAAAGAAACATTGTCCTCAATAAATGTCATCTATCTCTTCAAATACTAGCAGTACAATCCTATACGTGCCACTCAGAAGTGCCAAGAGGAAGGCGCGTCAAGCCAATCCCAAGTGATTTCCATTGAGCTCAGTTGAACTTAGTCCTAACAAAGTATAGGAATTTAGGTCAAAATAACTATAGGATTTTGAAACTAATCTGTTCCTTCAAAATATGCATTACTTCAAATAAAAGTCATTATACTTCAATGTAAATTCAGTCATTAACATTATATTCATCCTTGGTGAAGGACATAAGAGCTACTAAATAAAAAATTACAGAATGCAGCTTTGGAAATTAGCCTGCTGGCAATTAGTTTGCTAATTGCTGTGCTTCCATGAAGACTGTGAAAATCAATCCAAAATATATTCAATGACTCGAAACTTGAAGATTTGGCTATACTGATGTTTTTTAAAAAACATCAATTGTGACAGAGGTGCTCACTGGGAGTTAGATAAGGAAAAGGGCCAGCAACCACAAACATGTCTTAAGACTGAAATTCGGCCAAATGTTTAATGGTGACACCTTATGTGCCTCTTTCTCCAATACTTATTTTAACCATCATTTTCAGCTATGCTTTTGAGTGGGATGTGCTCTCAGAGTCAGAATAAATTACTGGGTAAGTCCTTAGCATTGAGGCATGGTCTAACAAACCCTTTTTCTTTTTTGACCACTATTATTGAGGAAGTTACTTGTGCAGCAAACAAGAGCTTGCAATACTCATGTTTCTGTTACAGCAACTGCACACTGTAAAACAGGGCTAGGCAACTTTTGCCCTTTTAGGGATCCCAATGTATCATTTTAGCTTCTATGGGTATCCAAAAGCCATACCCCTTCTATAGTGGTTTCCCACATTTGTGTATTTTTCCTCCTTCTGGATGTTTGAAATGTCTCTACCAATGCTTAGGAATTGGCCTGGTTCCACACTTGTTCCATCAGTTCCACCCATCACAGGAACAGGGTCTTGGAAAAATCTTATAGAATCAAATTCTGCTCTGGATGTTGAAAAATGCTTTCCCAAGAGTGAACAACCATACTCTTCTAGATACAACTCCTGTCAGCTAATAACAACTCCCGTCAGCTAATAATAATTATTAGAGCTGCAGTCCAGAAACACATGGAAGGTGAGTTCCCATCCCTGAACATAGATCAAGGATGGACAAAGTGTGCCCCTCCAGATATTGTGAGGCTGCAACTCACATCATTTCTCACTACTGATGATACTGGATAAGGATGAGGACTGCATCTGGAATGCCTTACTTTACTTATCTAATATAAACAAAGATACAACAGCTTGAAGTAACTGAGGTAGTATGCCTTTCAGAATGACACAGATGAATAGTTGCTTGCATTCCTCTGCTGGCCCCATGCCTAGAAGCAGAACTCTAAATGAGAGATCACATATCCATCTTCGGCCATGTAGAATCTAGCCCAAGAAAGAAGGAAATAATTCCTAACATCCCAGTCTTTAACATCTACCTGAAAGTAAAGACATCCAGTTTAATGGAGCTCATTTTCTGAAAAATGAACATAGAATTGAAACCTGAGATTACTGGTATGTTAACCATTCACTACCAAAAAACAAGCAAAAGGCCCTTGCACTTTTCCAAGCTTATTCCTTCAGATATTTAATTCCATCATCCAGTTACTCCATCTGTTATTACTTCCTAATAAAATAATTTGTCCACATAAGCAAGCTTAGCATAATTACCACAAAAATATTCTTGTTGCCAACATTTCATTAAAAAATGTTTTTAAAACTTTTTATTATGTTAGTCTCTTTGAATGATTTTTATTAACCAGCCAATATAGCACAGTAGCTTGAAAGTTGGACTATGACTAGAGAAAGGGCTTGGTTATGAAAACCCATAGATGACCTTAGGCAACTCACATGCTCAGCCTCAGAAAATCCTGATATGATCACCCTAAGTAAGAAACAATTTGAAAGTCCACATCAACAAAAACTAGCATGTTATGCCCATGCAGAATTTGTTACGGAAACTTTATTGGTCTGAACTAGAACCCTTTTAGTTGCAGCTCATTACGCCTGATATGGATGTATTTAATAGAAATGAACAGTTCGAAGACTTGCCCATTTGCCATGCATTAAACATTTTAAACTATCAAATGTTGTGTTTAAAAGTCTTAAAATGGCAATAACTATAGGGCAAATTAAGACTCAAACAGAAGACTTGTCACACTATTGCATATATTCCCCCAACATATGAAATACACTTAGCTGTGAGTCAGGATTTCTAAGAGGGTGAACAGGGACCACTTTTTTCATAAATACAGAAAATAATTAAGCAAGACAGTATCTTCTTTCTTGGTGCCACTTTATTGTTTTTGTACATGTTTCACAGATATGGAAAGTGTTATTCAATCAGTTATTCCAGTTCGTTTTTGCTAGAACAATCATTACCCCCAAGAACCACAGAAAGAAAACTGCATTTAAATAAACGGGAAGCTAGAGGCTCACCTCAGCAGTCATTTTTAAAAAAGCACTTTCAAGTTCATTTCAGTAAGGCATAGTACTGAAGTGTATAATAACTGGGAGAAACAGTCTCTCCTTTTCGCCACTTCAGTAGTTTCATTCTGTGGTATGATACAAAGAAATCACCATCATCAATCTTCATCAGAACTAGATTCCTCCTCTTGATCAGAAAGCTCTGCAACAGGAAAACGTAGAATAGCAGCCACACCTGTCAACTGTCCAAGCTGTTCTCCAGACACGTGAAGACTAGAAAAAATGCGAACAGTGCCCATGTTGTCCCGCACACTATCTACTAGTCGAACATACCGACCCCGAGTTGCCACATCTTGATGCCTAAAAAGTTCATCACTGATCAACAATGTATCAATAGCCATGGCTTCATTGGCCGCCTCCACATGCTTAAGACCATAAAACGCTCGGTCTGGCTCATGTTGTAACATCTTGTAGAAATCATCTAAGGCCTTCACTTCACCAGCTGCTTTAGTATCAGCAAGTCTACTTGTCACAGCAGGGTCACACAGAGCTTCTTTCAATGCATATTTATGTCCAGAGGAAGAGTGTACCTAAATAAATAAAAAGGGGGGAGAGGCAGTAAGCATATAGCATTTACCGTGACAATAAGTTATTTATTTCTCTCTTTTTTTTACTGATCTTTGATATTATTACAGATTTCAAGTAATTCTGAATGCTGCTACAGATAAATGGAACTACATCTGGATTCAACTGTGTCATAGTTGTTTTTCCTACGTTAATTTGTAAATCAGTGTCCCAAATAACTTAAGTTGTTTATTACTTGTTTAAACAATGTTCTATTGATGCTCATACTATGTAGACAGGAAGTTTTTAAGAAAGATCTGGATTTTACATGTTAAGCAAGCTTACAAGGAAATGTTTCATTAAATATAACTTTATGGAAATGTTCAGGTTTCATATAATTTATTTTGCAAACACTGAGACTAAGTGCAGCTCTAAATCAAGTTTTCTATTTTACAGAGATGGGAATCTCCTTCCACAGTTCCAAAGACTTCCTTAGTCTTAAGGGCTTAAATATCCAGGCATGCCCTAAATTTAATTAAGTGTATGTACTCGCTTCAAAGAGATGTCTTCTAAAATGCAACACTATCTTAGTTTAGATTAATTGGCATATACTGTCATTAATCTGGTTTAATGATCTGAAATTCTGGGACTACACTGGAGCAAGAAGCCTGGTTGTTGTTTTCTTTCTAAGTTGTGCAAGAAGTTGAAAGCAAAATAAAATAAATTCATCCAGTTTTCAATGAGCAACATTTTACTCAGCTCCATTTTATAACTAGTAAAGGTAAAGGTTTACCCCTGACATTAAGTCCAGTCATTTCCGACTCTGGGGGTTGGTGCTAATCTCCATTTCTAAGCCAAAGAGCTGGTGTTGTTCATAGACACGTCCAAGGTCAGGTGGCCGGCATGACTGCATGGAATGCCATTCCCGCCGGAGCGGTACCTATTAATCTACTCACATTTGCATGCTTTTGAACTGCTAGGTTGGCAGAAGCTGGGGCTAACAGCAGGAGCTCATGCCACTCCCTGGAATTGAACCTGCAACCTTTCCGCCCGCGAGTTCAGCAGCTCAGAGCTATAACTCACACCACTGGGGGCTCCATACTTTATAATTATGTTTACATTAATCAACTTTTCATTAGTATGAATAAGCTCTGCACAGTAAGTAAATAAATACATATCAAGGAATAATACTTCTTATATTGTTATAAGTCATTAACAAGGCTTTAAAAATACTCAGATTGCCAACCAGGATAGAGACTAGCTAAATTCTTGTAAAATTCAGTGGGTCTCATTCCCTGGTAAGTAAGCTGTGGGGAGAAACTCTCTTACAACATTCATCTAATGTTAATTTGCCCTGCTTTTAATTAACATAAAATGTCTTGAACCTCACTTTTGGGAAAAGGTAGAATGCCAACGAATGAATGAATGAATCAAATAAATGAATAATCTATTTTCTTTTATTTTCAGTTCTACTTTACCTACCATGTAAATATTAATAAATATTGATGCAGAAGTAAGTTCCACAGAAGTCACTCCAAAACAGCAAAAGGGTCTCTGTCACTGGACTGTAAAACCCATCACAAGCATTGTTTAAGATAATGATAATTGCAGTCTAGCATATGAGAACCGTAAGTCAGATATGCTGTTTTAAAGCTATGCATGCTTAAGACTAAAGCCTTTAGAGACAAATACCAGACATTTGTTCTTGTAAATTTATATTTATAACAAGGATGAGACTCATGCTGGTGTTCAGATGTTCAGCTGCAATTTCTCGTTGTTTTAGTCAACGCTGGCAACAGCTGTTAACAGCATATGAAGACCCATATATGATTCCTATTGCTGACTGATTAGCTAGTCCAGTGACTCTCAAAGTGACTCTCTAGGTGTTAAGATTTCAACTTTGGGAAACCCTAGCTACTTTGACAAGGCAAGAATTTTAGGAGCTGAAGTACAAAATCTCTGCAGGACCAAAGTTTGGGAACCACTAGAATAAAACAACCATGCTTTCAATAACGTGCTTTTGTATCTTTTCTAACAGTTTAATAAGCAGGCATTTATACAAACAGCACAACCACACTATGTCATCAGTGCAGTGCTATGACAGGTATCTGCACTACAACTTCAGGATCCAACATGTCAGGGACAATAATGGCTTGATTGGTAGGTTCATAAGCAAAATTCTCATCCCTATCCTTCAAACTATGGACTAGAGACAAAAAGCTCATCTTGGCATTTTATGGGCACTTACCTTTCTGTTTAAGGCAGGCATGGGCAAACTTGGGGCCTCCCGGTGTTTGTACTTCAATTCCCACCATTCCTACTGGCTATTAGGAATGGTGGGAATTGAAGTCCAAAATACCTAAAGGGCAGAAGTTTGCTCATGCCTGGTATATAAAGTATCCATAAATTCAGAAACTTTAATTTTCCAGAATGCTGGAAGTCACAAATGCCTAAGGAGCAGTTACAAACACTGGAAGAGCCCAAGTTTGCCCAGGACTGGTGTAGAAGATGTAGCCTTTGAGCTTGAGATGACTTGATGCAGTAGACTGGCATCAGCCACTAATTTCCTCAGCCTCAAGGGTTACCGTAGTTATACTCAACTTGCCTGCTCTTATTCATTTTTTTGTAATTGTTGTGCTTTTACTATGGCCTGGATTGTAATGTGTTTCTGTGCTTTATATGGGTTTTTGTTGCAAGCCGCTCCAAGTCCCTTTGGGACAAATGCAAGATACTCCACTTAGGTAGGAAAAAATGAAATGCAAAGATACAGAATGGGGGATACTTGGCTTGACTGCAGTATGTGTGAAAAAGATCTTGGCAGCCATCGTGGACAAGTTAAACATGAACCAGGAATGTCATGTGGCAGCTAAAAAAGCCAATGAGATTTTGGCCTGCATAAATAGGAACAAAGTGTCTAGATCCAGGGGAGTCACGCTACCCCTCTATTCTGCCTTGGTCAGACCACACCTGGAATCACACTGTGTCTAATTCTGGGCACCGCAATTGAAGGGAGATCTCAACAAGCTGGAATGTGGCCAGAGGAGGGCAACTAAAATGATCAAGGGTCTGGAGAACAAGCCCTATGAGGAGCGGCTTAAAGAGTTGGGCATGTTTAGCCTGCAGAAGAGAAGGCTGAGAGAAGACATGTATAAACGTGTGAGGGGAGAAAGCTTGTTCCCTCCTCTTGGTCCCACCCCAGTCTCAAGGGAACGAGAGAGGGAACCTTCTACATGATCACTCCCAGTCTCTAGAACTCCCTTCCTAAAGAAGTAAAAACAGCCACCACCCTCCTCTCTTTTAAGAAACTTATAAAAATGTACCTTTGCACTTTAGTGTATAGAGAGGAGGATGACACTTTATTGGATCATTTTATTTTTCAACACAATACTTAATTCTTTGTTGTAAGCTTACTGTTATACCTGTTGTTTTACTGTGTATTATTTGTTATGTTTGCACTCACCTAGAGGCATTGAATGCTTGCCTTTTTATATGTGTAAACAGGCCTGCATCCCTCTTGGGAGAGAGGGTGATATAGAAATAAAGTATTATTATTGTTGTTGTTGTTGTTTTCTGCTGCCCTGGAGACTAGGATGCGGACCAATGGCTTCAAACTACAATACAGGAGATTCCACCTGAATATTAGGAAGAACTTCCTGACTGTGAAAGCTGTTCAGCAGTGGAACTCTCTGCCTCAGAGTGCGGTGTAGGCTCCTTCTTTGGAGACTTTGAAAGCGATTTTCCTGCTTTTTGGCAGGGGGTTGGTATGGACGGTCCACGATACTATGATTCTATTATCATAAATAACGTTTATGATGATGATGATGATTGCTGGCCCAGGCGTTGCCTTTAATATTATTATTATTATTGTTATTGCTGCCCCAGGCGTTGCCTTTATTATTATTATTATTGTTGTTGTTGTTGTTATTGCTGCCCCAGGCGTTGCCTTTAATATTATTATTATTGTTATTGCTGCCCCAGGCGTTGCCTTACCTGTCAGAGATGTTCAGGAGCGAAACTCTCTGCCCCAGAGTGTGACTGTCAGAGCTGTTCAGCAGTGGAACTCTCTACCCCAGAGTACGGTGGAGGCTCCTTCTTTGGAGACTTTTAAACAGAGGCCGGATGGCCATCTGTTGGGGGTGCTTTGAAAGCGATTTTCCTGCTTTTTGGCAGGGGGTTGGACTGGATGGCCCACCATACTATGATTCTATGATATAAATAACTTTTATGATTATGATTATTACTATTATGATGGCTGCCCCCCCAGGCGTGGCCTTACCTGCAGGAACTTGGGGCGGTTCTCGAGGAGGACCTTGTTGTCGGTCTTGACGGCCTGCTGGAACATGTAGTCGCAGAACTGCTCTCGGACGAAGCCCGGGCTGGCGACGAGGACGCACTTGACCACGTCGAAGTTGACGTGGCGCTGGATGGCCTGGGCCACCTGCTCGTAGAAGCGCTCGAGGGCGCGGTCGTGCTGGGCGCAGCTGCCCCTCCGCTTCCGCGGGATGCTGACCTCCACCTTGGCGCGGGGGAGCGTCATGCTGGGCGTGACGAGGCAGACGTGGGCCAGGCCCTCCTGCATGACCACGGCGGCCAGGTCGGCGCCCCAGGCCGGGTCGCAGGCCTGCTCCACGCGCTCCAGCGCCACCGAGTCCCACTGCTTCTTGGCCAGCGTGAACTGGCGGTTGGGCTCCAGCTCGATGGTGTGGTAGGCGCCCATCTTGACGAACTCGTTCTCCTGGATGTTGGTGCCCTTGACGCGCAGCTGGCAGGCCTGCGAGTCGAAGTCGGTGGTCTCCACGCAGAGGGTGAGCGTGGTGCGGACGCGGCTGCTGCCCACGCTGCCCGTCGACGTCTCCGTCTGCACCTTCCGGATGGTGGCCGCCCGGAGGCTGTCGCCCGCCTGGATCAGGTTGTAGGCATGCCACATGTCCTCGGCCTCCTCCGGCACCAGCGTCACCTGCCCCGCGTTGTCCTTCTCCATGTCCTTCCGCAACAGCTTCATCCTGCAGGCCTCTCCTCTCTTTGCGGCCTACTCCGCCCGGCCTCGATTTCCAAGTTCTCTGCTTATCACCCCGTCTGTCTTACTAAGCGGCCTACTCCGGGAAAAGCCGCCTGGCCTCGATTTCTTAGTTGTCACACCCTCTCTTTGCTAAGCAACCATTGCGGCCTAGCACACTCCACGCCGCCTGAGTCAAATTTTCGATAAGGTGTCTTTGCCCGAGTTTGCTTCCTCTTCACCATCTCGGCATATTGCTCCTCTGAGGAGAGAGAGGGAGGAGCTTACCCTAAGCCACGCCCCCTCGTCAAAGCGTCACAGGCAGACAACCCAAGCCGGCAATCGAGCGCTGAATTGGTCCTCAGCTGGCTCAACTGCCCGGCTGGGAAAAGGGGGCGGGGCTTGTCATCGGCCACGCCTCCTCAAAAAAAACCACCGCGTCAAGCAGAAATCTAGGCAAATACGAGTAGCGTCCGCAACAGCGCATGCGCAATAGGGGACAAACCCTAAAGCGAGACAGCGAGGCGTGACCGAGACGCCGAACGCAAAGCTGATTGGCTGAGTCGTTGCTGAGTCGGAGCCCCCGGTGGCGCTGTGGGTTAAAGCCCTGTGCCGGCAGGACTGAAGACCGACGGGTCGCAGGTTCGAATCCGGGGAGAGGCGGATGAGCTCCCTCTATCAGCTCCAGCTCCTCATGCGGGGACATGAGAGAAGCCTCCCACAAGGATGATAAAAACATCAATCATCCGGCTGTCTCCTGGGCAACGTCCTTGCAGGCGGCCAATTCTCTCACACCAGAAGCGACTTGCAGTTTCTCAAGTCGCTCCTGACAGACAAATAATAATAGCCATTTGTTGGAGAGGAGGAGGAGGAGAAGGAAAGCGGGAGTTAGAAGTACTTTCACTTAGTTTTGAGTGACTTTAAGTTAGTTTGGGTTAGGTTGCTGTGAGTTTTCTGGGCTGTCTCGCCATGTTCCAGAAGCATTTTCTCCTGACGTTTCGCCCACATCTATGGCAGGCATCCTCAGGTTTGCATGCTGGTCGCTTCTGTGGCGAGAGAATCAGCCGTCTACGAAGACATTGCCCAGGGGACGCTCGGATGTCTTGCAATCCTGCGAGGAGGCTTCTCTCATGTCCCTCTGTAGATCTTAGTTTTCTAAGATCTACAGAGACACTCGCTGGAACACCTCAGCAAGCGAGAGTCCAAAAGTGGCAGGCTCAAACCCAGAACCTCAACCAATGGCTGATACCAAATGAGAGACTCCCCCCTGGGCACACAGAGGACTGGGCGACTTGGAAGGCGCTGAACAGACTGCGCTCTGGCACCACGAGATGCAGAGCCAACCTTCAGAAATGGGGCTACAAAGTGGAATCCTCGACATGCGAATGTGGAGAGGAGCAAACCACTGACCACCTGCTGCAATGCAACCTGAGCCCTGCCACATGCACAATGGAGGACCTTCTTGCAGCAACACCAGAAGCACTCCAATTGGCCAGATACTGGTCAAAGGACATTTAATCAACTACCAGACTCACAAATTTTGTATTTTGTCTGTTTGTTTGCTTTGTTCTGTTAGAAATGTAATATAATTGACTGGTTGCCCTGACACGACAAATAAATAAATAAAATCCTCATGTTATGAGGACTGTTGGAAACCTGAGTTATCAGTTTACCCCCCTTGCAAAACACGTATACCCTCTTTCATACTAAAAATAGCTGCCGTGATTATTTGGAAGTTTATTATTGTTGGGTTGTTGTAGGTTTTTTCAGGCTATATGGCCATGGTCTAGAGGCATTCTCTCCTGACGTTTCGCCTGCATCTATGGCAAGCATCCTCAAGAGGTAGTGAGGTCTGTTGGAACTATGAAAAAGGGTTTATATATCTGTGGAATGACCAGGGTGGGACAAAGGACTCTTGTCTGCTGGAGCTATTGTTGTATTATTATTGTATTATTATTTATTATTGTTGATATTCTGCATTCTCTCTCATAGATGCATTTAGGGTTTATATATCTGTGGAAAGACCAGGGTGGGACAAGGGACTCTTGTCTGCTGGAGCTGCTATTGTACTATTATTGTATTATTATTTATTATTGTTGTTGATATTCTGTGTTCTCTCTCATAGATTCGTTTAATTTATAGGAATTCATTTACACCTCAAGTATCTTCTTCCACTTATTTATTTATTTATTTACAACATTTATATGCCGCCCTTCTCACCCCGAAGGGGACTCAGAGCGGCTTACAATATATATATATATATATATATACACACACACACACACACACACACACACACACACACACACACACATATACAATATATTATATTATTAGCATAGTACAATATCAGTATTATATATTACTATATTGTACTATACCATATATTGTAATATAATTAGTAATATTACATGTAATATAAAATATATAATTATAATATAATAATTATTAGTAGTATTATATTGTATTACATTATAATATTATTGTGAGAAAATTGGCCGTCTGCAAGGATGTTGCCCAGGGGATGCCCAGATGTTTTGATGTTTTTCATCCTTGTGGGAGGCTTCTCTCATGTCCCCGCATGAGGAGCTGGAGCTGATAGAGGGAGCTCATCTGCCTCTCCCCGGATTTGAACCTGCGACCTGTTGGTCTTCAGTCCTGCCGGCACAAGGGTTTAACCCACTGCACCACCGGGGGCTCCATTATAATATTATAAATATATGTATATACAATATATTATATTATTAGGAAACCACAGGAGACAAGATAGCCCTCTCTCTCTTCACTCTGGCCAGAGCAGCCGTTGGTGGGGGGGGGGGGGGGAGAAGCCTCCCAACTGACAATGTAGGCAGGAGACAATTATCAGGCTTGTTTTTCAGCTCAGATGTTTGGAGACTTAACAGTCAAGAGGCTGTGGAAGGATGCTGGTAGGCCTCTGATGCATGGACATGGTGCCACAGTCGTCCTACAATATCTAGATATTCATGTTACTGCCTGATAGCTGCCTTAGATTTGGGTTGTTGTAGGTTTTTTCGGGCTATATGGCCATGTTCTAAAGGCATTCTCTCCTGACATTTCACCTGCATCTATGGCAAGCATCCTCAGAGGTAGTGAGGTCTGTTGGAACTAGGAAAAAGGGTTTATATATCCGTGGAATGACCAGGGTGGGACAAAGGACTCTTGTCTGCTGGAGCTAGGTGTGAATGTTTCAACTGACCACTTATTTATTTATATTTCAAACTTATATGCCGCCACTCCCCTAGGGCTTGGAGCTACTTACAAGAACAAACTAAGATCTAACACAAATTAAATGCTAACCTTGACAAGCATTTGATGGCCTGGTGTGGCTTGTTAGTGCCTGGGGCAATCTATTGTTGAGAGGTGATTAGATGTCCCTGATTGTTTCTTCTCTGTTGTTTTGCTGTTGTAATTTTAGAGTTTTTTAATACTGGTAGCCAGATTTTGTTCATTTTCATGGTTTCCTCCTTTCTGTTGAAATTGTCCACATGCTTGTGAATTTCAATGGCTTCTCTGTGTAGTCTGACATGGTGGTTGTTGAGAGTGGTCCAGCATTTCTGTGTTCTCAAATAATATGCTGTGTCCAGGTTGGTTCATCAGGTGCTCTGCTATGGCTGATTTCTCTGGTTGAAGTAGTCTGCAGTGCCTTTTCATGTTCCTTGATTCATATTTGGGCGCTGCGTTTGGTGGTACCTATGTAGACTTGTCCACAGCTGCATGGTATACGGTAGTCTACTGTATACCATGCAGCTGTGGATAAGTCTATAGGGACCACCAAATGCAGCGCCCAAACACGAATCAAGGAACACGAAAGGCACTGCAGACTACTTCAACCAGAGAAGTCAGCCATAGCAGAGCACCTGATGACACCAGGACACAGCATATTATTTGAGAACACAGAAATGCTGGACCACTCTCACAACCACCATATCAGACTACACAGAGAAGCCATTGAAATTCACAAAAAAACCTATAACAACCCAGTGATTCCGGCCATGAAAGCCTTCAACAATACATTGCCTTAGATATTTTTTAATACAGGCCTGGACAAACTTGGACCACCCAGGTGTTTTGGTCTTCAGCTCCCACAATTCCTAACAGCCTCAGGCCCTTTCCTTTCCCCCCTCAGCCGCTTAAGCCTGAGGCTGTTAAGAATTGCGGGAGTTGAAGTCAAAAACACCTGGGCGGCCCAACTTTGCCCAAGGGATAACTGACAAATGATTCCAGTAGCAGAAAGGGGTTTTTTTCCTTCTTCTTGTGGCCAGTGGGGTCTGACTTTGTAGGATAGGTAGAAAAGGCAAAGATTTATCTATGTCTTTTAACTGATTTTATTTTTTTTAACCAAAAGGCTGTTTGAGTGGTTTATGCACAGTCATCTTAATAATTGGAATATGGGCCTAATCCAGGCTTTGAGTTATTTATGATGGTATGTTCCTAGGAAAAGCAGAACTCAGCAGTGGGGAAGAAATCCACTTTTTAAAAGTTTCCAAGCAGGTTCAGAAGTGGGCAGTACACCACCCAAATAGTGGAAAATAGTGGAACATGCAAATGTCCCAGTTAAACATAAACTCCCTTTATGTGGTTGTGCTGGGCATGGCTTTCTGACTCAGCTGGCAAAAGCTGGTGGTGATTCATTGCCCTTTCCCATTGAACAGTTGAGCAATAGTCAGACTTAAATGTTGAATTTGAAGTATACTGAGCCAGAAGGGTGGAGTGGATTAGGCCTTGGACCATGACTTTGGAAACCAAAGCTTGGACTCCTTCTTAGCTATGGAAATCCGGTGGGTGATACTGGACAAGTCCCACTCTCTCAACCACAAGGACAAGCAAAAACAAACCTATTCTGGTCATATTTTTACCAAGAAAACACCATGCTAGGTTTTTTAAAGATTATCATAAGTTTGAAATTACCTGAAGGTACACAACAACAGCAACAGGTTGAAGTACCTGTCGTGGCCAATGCGATGTATGCTTCCACAATGTCAAAAAAATAGCTAATCTTTATCATGGGACTCATGTTCCAGAGTGTAAGAAAACACATTCATTGTACAGAAACAATATGGAAATACCTAGAAAGAAATTTGTTCACTATGTAATACTGATTTATCTGAATGCAGATGAAGGTAGTCACACAAATGAGTTGTACTCAATTTAGTCTAAGACGTTAAACCTGTTGAACAGTGAACAGATTTAGCAGGTTTAATGCTGATTCATCAAGTGGTGCTTTATCTCAGGTTTGTACTTTTCAAATCATTGGGAAGTGATGTGATGATACCAGAAATA